GGTCTTAGGACCTGGCCCTGGAGATCTCCCCACATGTTTCCATTTTCTCCCCAAAGCATCAACCCTTCTCCATCATCTATTCATAGATCAGTCTGATTTAGGTTGAGCCACTGTGCATTGCCTTTCCAGAACCCCTTTGGCCAAGTTGTGTTAGTGGTCTGATGCAAGACAGCTAATTATTCTGATTATCCTGGCATTTGGTGAATTGACAATTTTATTTTGTATTTATTTATTTATCAATACTTGTTTCCAAAAGAGATCTGAAGGGGTCTGTCAAAATGCACAAGATACAATAGATTAAACATGAGGAGTGGGAGTTGGGGCCAAGGGCAGGTATCTTGTAGGCAGACCACAGCCAAAACAACACTGGTTCACATGGCTTGTGCCTCACAACTGAAGACTGTGGGAGGGGGTCCTTAGGGTGCAAGGACTCTTTGTTAAGAGCTTCTTCTGATGATAGCTCCAAAAAGAATCTCTTGTACCTTCTCATTTTTTGCAGACAAGACATTGAAATACGACGCTACACAAAGGGGAGCACCCACAGTGCCTCCAACTCATCATTAGACTGTTTGCCAAGACTTTTTACTTAATAGATAGTGATATTCTCCTTGGCCAAATTTGAGAGGACAATGAATATAAATCCACTGGAAAGATCCTGGGCATAAGAATTATGCTCACTGCAGGCCAACCTTGCAATGTATGAGCAATGGGATATGGTTGGAAGTATGACCTTGGAGTCCAACAGACCATGATTCAAATCTCTGCTGAGAGATTCATCTAAACCAAATAGCTAATCTCCACAAGCCCATTTTTCAGTCTCTCAGCCAGGGTGATAAGAATCCATACTGCACTGGGACATTGTGAGTATCTGCGGCAGTGTATATGAAATACCTGCAGCAGTATTTAACACATAGCCAGTACTGTCTTAACGTCAGTCAGGGTTATTTATTAGAAGACAAGGTTACAGCACATTTAGTTTAAAGAGCGAATTGACTTTATCTGTGATTCTGGAATTGTGAAACATTGTACTTGATTCAACATGTTGAATAGAGGCAATTGTGTGCATAGACAGAAGGAGCCTAAACAGCCAGTGTGGTAGTAGCAATCCTACCACTTGGGGTGCTGAGACAAGAGGGTTTTAAGTTGGAGGCTAGCCAGAGGCTGCATGGTGAGACTTTGTCTCAAAAAAAATAATAGATAAAAGTAAGGGAAACAAATAGAAGATTAAGAGGATGGAGAAAAGCAGAAACATGAAACAGATCATTTGTTCTAAAGTTACTTCTTCTTGTAAAGAAAAGGGGCTTCCTTAGCACATTGGCTAAAACTGGCATTGCTAAAATGAGGGAAGGGGTAACAAGTCTGACAAGAAATGTACTAATGACCTTACTCATATAACTGTAGCCCCTCTGTACACCACCGTGACAATAAGAAATAAAAAAATCTGGCATTGCGGGCCATTTGTCTATTATCTCTCTCTTGATTTCTAAGAATGAAAGATGATTTGACTGAGGTTTTGGGAAAAGGGAGACTTTGATATGAGACTTTAATATAAGTAATTACATATTGACTTGTTTTCTTTATTTGGGGGGTGGTCTTGTGTAGGAGCTCAATTAAAAAACTGATGCATTTTATTTGACATTATTGATAGATATTCCCTTCTCTTATTGGACTTTTAAGAGGAAAAGAGAGATAGAATGGTGAGCAGCATATGAGGCTCTTCAGTGTTGTTTTATGAGAGAACACAGGCATAGAAATTGGTGATTCTTACTTTCTTGACAGAACCTACGCTTGAATTCAGGTCTCCAAATATTGTTTGCAGCCTTCTTACTACACGCTTTCTCTGTCTCATTATGACCGCATTCTTCCCTCAGAAAATAGCTCCCCAGCAGGAAAGTCCCAATGTGTCTCTTAGAACAGCAGTGGAGTGAGTGGCATCTCCTGACCTATGTTTCTGCAGCTGGGGCTGCTGGAAGCCGGGGCAGTGCTACCCCGACTCCTGGGCTGGTGGTGGTTCATAGTCTAAGTTAGAAGAAAAGTATGGTGACTTTAGAACCAGAACTCCTGCTGATATTTTACTCTGTGGTCTTGGGGAAGTAGCTTAACTGTTTTGAATTTCATAAATTGGAGAAACACTACATTTCTGATTGGCTGGGAAACAGTGATTGGCAAATCATTTTTGGGGGGGTGGGAGAATTTTTTCGGGGGGGGATTTTATATATCAAATTTCACTCAGTATTAGGCCCAGTGAGTGTTTCCATGAATTAAGTCTTTTCCTTCTCGCAGTACATCAGTGCTATTATTTTCATTGCATAGATACCAAAGCAGAGACTTCAGAAGTCAATGAATTAGACTAAGGTCAAACAAACAAATGGCTGGGTCAGAACTTGGAATAGGCTCTGTGTTCTTAGCCCTTATATCATATTTCTAGAATTCCAGCCATAACTTTATAGTGGGTAATGCTAAGCTTATCATGGAAAATCCTGCACTCCATGAGTCTATTTATTTGCTATTAGGAAGGTACAACTTCTGAACAAAGTTATGTCTCAAAGAGATTCGAGAAACTCCATGTATTTTATAATGGGAGCAGAGTGGGCTGTTGCATTTTATGTCATTTTGTTTTATTATTCTGGGTAAATGAGGCGTGGTAAATAGATTTCTGGCATTTCTGCCCCAATTGCATTGGCGATGGGCCTATCTTTTCTTACTTGGAGATGCCCAATTCTCTACACATTGTAGCCTATGTTCACAGCACTTACCTTCTATCATGCGACAAAACATGTGTCCTCTGTCAGGGCACAACGCTTCTCCTTCCTTTTTTAAATTATTAACTTTAAATAGTTGAACTAAGGAGTTGCCATTTGACAAAGCAGTTTATGAATACAATCCATCTTAATCAGTGACACACCTTTCAACATTCTCACCCCTCTACTACCCACGCCTCCGACCTACCCTTTCCTTTCCTTTTCTTAATTTTGTTGTTTCTTCTTTCTTATTCAACTATTACATCCTCTTGGCCATGCTAGAATGATGGTGCCAGGAGGTAGGGGAACCATCAAGTTCTATGAGACAAAAAGTACCTGATGCATGGCGAATTCTTGAGTAAGGACATACGTAAGACTCTTATTTCTTCATCAGGGTGATTTTTTTTTTTTTTATAAACTCTTAAAACATTGCAAGCCATTGTTTTTGAGATCAACAACTGGCCCTCAACTGGGAAAACAATCTCAATATTCATATGATCAAGAGCCTATTGTGGGACAAACCAATAGATACTGACCTTCATTCCATCAGCTTTTGCCAAACATTGATCTAAGATCTACTTTAATATTTATCTGAATGTTGATGAGGTCTTTCTCAAATTTGGCTATTGTTTGTTCTGAGGAGGAAAGAAGTCATGTAGCATCACCTTTGAAGTCCACATTTCATACTTTCAGGACCCCAAAGGATTAATGCTCAAAGGCACAGAGAAATGATGGTCGTAAAGACTGGAAAGAGATCCACGTGCATTAGAATGTGATGGCCTTGTCTCTTCATGGACTTTGCAGGTTAATTTTGGAGTGGTTTGATTCAAGCTTCTTACTGATGGACAGTGATCTAGCATTTTGGAAATGGGACAGGTCCTTGGGAATGAAAGGAGAGCTTGGAAACCAGGCCATATTTCCTTGGCAGGGAGAGAGAGGAAGGAGTGCACTGGCGAGCATCAGGATGTGGAGGTTCTAACAGTCACTTGCTTTTTAATGGCACTTGAGTCCACTGTGCTTGAGGTAGGGTGGTTGTTGGAACTCCAAGGGACTGTGGACCTGGAGATAAGACGATTCTAGAATATATCTGGGAACTTTCCCCAATATTTAGAAAAGCATATTTTATGGTTTTTAAATCATGATCTAATTTTAGTTGACAGATAAAAATTGTATATATTTACAGTTAGTAATATGATGATTTAAAATGTGGATACATTATATCATGGCAAAACAAGCTAATGTACTTAGATTTTGTGCTGAAAACACTTAAAATCTGATCTCGGCCATTTCTGAGTGTATCTGAGTGTATCTCTATCCTCACAAATAAAAGAATTTTTTTTTGCTTTTTATGGCTGAGTAGTATTTCACTGTGTATATATAACACACAGTTAGGAAACATACTTCTAAGTGCAGAAGGGAGAGAGAATGTCTCATGCATCTCATATGCAAATCATATCCTGTGTAATAATACTGCGATTTAGCATTATAATCCCATTAATACAAGGAAGCTATGATTGAGAAAGGTTGATTAACTTGTTCTAGGTTTAAAAAGATTGAAACCTCTGCCTGATTTCAAAGTCCAGCCCTTCATACTGCACCTCAAAGTTCTATCTACATAAAGCATGTTTCTCCTCCACTTGAAGATGACCTGCACTTCTTTTTGTTGTTGTTGTTGTTGGTTATGGGGCTTGAATTCTGAGCCTGGGTGCTCTCCCTCAGCTCTTCAGCTCAAGGAAAGTGTTCTACCACTTGAGCCAGAGCGCCACTTCTGGTTTTCTGGTGGTTTATTGGAGATAAGAGTCTCATGAACTTTACTGCCTGGGCTGGCTTTGAACTGTGATCCTCAGATCTCAGCCTCCTGAGTAGCTTGGATTACAGGCGTGAGCCACCGGCACTTCTAATGTGAGATCTGCAGAGGTTTGGAAACACTCAAAGAAATGATTTCTAACCTCGGCACTGCCTGTTTAGTATGAAATCCATGGGACGAACAAATCACTCCACTACATCTCTCATACTCTTGTCAAAAAAAAAAAAAATGAAATGGTGCTTCCAAGGATTTCTGAAAGCTCAACTGAAGTGAAGCTTGTGAAAAATGTAAAGTACATGGTAAATCTGAAAGTTAATTCTATTACACAGCAGCAGCAATCAAAATCAAACACGGTCACTTCATCTTCAATGAGCTCTTGTTACTAATTGTCATAATATTATGATATTTATCTATCTACTTATTTATCTATTTCAGCAAGTGACTTTGTCTTCATGGCAGAAAATGCCACCAGGGTGACAGAATTTATCCTGATGGGGTTCCAGCTCCAAGCATCCCTGCAGATGAGTTTCTTCTTTGTGTTTCTGGTCTTTTATCTGATCACCATTGGGGGAAATCTAGGCATGATCATACTAATTCAGAGCGACCCTCGGCTCCAGACACCCATGTACTTCTTCCTCAGCCACCTTTCCTTTTTGGATATTTGCTATTCTTCTGTCATTGTCCCTCAGTTGCTTGTGACCTTGGGGACGGATAAGACTGTCATCACCTATGGACGTTGTGCCGCCCAGTTCTTCTTTTTCACCCTCTGTGCTAGCACGGAATGTTTCCTTTTGGCTGTGATGGCCTATGACCGCTACGTGGCTGTGTGTAACCCTCTCCTCTATGCCATGGCGATGACCCCACAGGCTCGTCTGGGGCTGGTGATGGCAGCGTATGGTGGTGCCATGGTGAATACTGTGATCCGCACAGGGTGTACCTTCTCCATCTCCTTTTGTAAGTCCAACCAAGTCGACTTCTTCTTCTGTGACCTGCCACCATTGTTGAAGCTTGTCTGTAGTGAGACAAGGCTCCAGGAACAGGTCATCTTCCTCTTTGCTTTTCTGGTCATCACAACCAGCATTCTGATCATTCTTATGTCGTATCTATTCATCATTCGGGCGATTCTGAAGATCCGGACGGCAGGCGGCAAAGCCAAGACCTTCTCGACCTGTGCTTCTCACATGACTGCAGTGGCCCTTTTCTTTGGAACACTCATGTTTATGTATCTGAAAAGTAACATGGGAAAATCTCTCTGGGAAGACAAGATTGTGTCTGTATTTTATACTGTGATCATTCCCATGCTAAACCCGATGATCTACAGCCTGAGGAACAAGGAAGTGAAGGCAGCTCTGAAGAAAGTTACTCAAAGAATGAAAGTAGCCCAAGCAGACTAAGATCTGAGCTCCCCACATCTAGAAATTCCTGCAAGGCATTCTTTGGGGGTTTTTGTCTTATCCCTTTAACACATGAGTCAGATATTGGATTACCAAGATAGTTTGAAGGAGAAAAACATATTTCTGGCTCCCAGAACTTAAAAATAAACTATTTGCTCTCCAGTCAGAAATAGTCCCCCTCAGTTCTCTCTTCAGAAAAATTTCTGCCTTACTGTGAATAAAGATCAAGAGATCTCAAGCCAGAATCAAGAGAGATGGAGAGACACAAGTTTTTATAAATAATAACATCTTATAAAATCTAAGATTTATTTTTCTGACCTGTTCTGGATATTGATGAAGTTTTGTTCCCAGCTACTTGAATTGTTTTCTACAAAGCTAATTTTGAGCCAAGAACAATGATAAAATAAGAATTCACTTTTAATGTAGTAGAGCAGTCAGTTGTTTTAGTTATGGATTTGTGTCTAGAACAATGACAAAGTGATAGCTCACTTTTGGTGTGGTAGGAAGTCAATTTTTTGGTTATGGACTGTGGAGAAGATTTCAACTCTGACTAAATAAACGTTTTTAGGCATGTCATGTCCAGCTTAGGTACTTGTCATGGAAGAGTACAAGCACTAGCCAGAATAAGAAAAAAAATGAGAGGAAAGGAAATGTGGTATAGAAAATGTTCAACTAGATTATGTTAGCTTATTTCCCAAGGTGGTGTAGAGGACTAAGACATTATAGAATTGGAGAAAGATGTAATGATTTGTGTTAATTATTGGAGAAGGTAGATCTTGATGTCACACGAAACTGAATCATATATACAACTTTGTAATATTTCCTGATCAGTAAAGGTCAGGAGCTCTGTTTTATCTCTGAAGCACTGCTTAGAGACATCTGCCTCAATTAACTTGAGTTATTTCCTATCCTTCAGTAATGAAAATCACTATCTACTTTCATCTTCTCCAGAACATTTAGTTTTTTTTCCTTTTGTCATAAGATAAAGAACTATGAATCTGTCACTGTTTAATTACCTCATATCTGATAGAAACATTACTTGAGAAACATCTCCATGGATACCTCATTCCGACCCATCAATATAGTAAATATTCACAGACTACCTGCTATCAGACATGATACTAGGTTCTGAATAGAGTGGTAAAAAACAACAGATATGGATTTTCCTTCAAAAGATTAGAACCTCTGGCATAGACAGATAACTTATAATTTAGACAGCAATAATAGACAGGTGGTGTGCTTTCCCCCTTCTCCCCCAGCCTACAAATTGGAAAATGGAAGGAGAAGAATCATGGAAAAACATACAGTCTAACAGGGTTCTGAGTTTGGTATGGCCAGACCACAATGCTCTGAAGATGTAATATATAAGCAGAGACCTAAGAATAACTAACAGTCGTGAATGAGAAATAGTCATGAATGAGGGGAGACTTTTCAGACAGGAAGAGCTGTGAATGCTACAGCCTGTGAAATAGGACGTGTTTGAAAGACTGAGAAGCCACAGTGACTGTAGGCTGAGGGCGGGAGGCTTAGTGTGAGGTGGCAGCTGGTGAATTTAGAAGGAACCAGGACAAGAGCCTTGTAGACTTCCTTCGGAACTTGAGGAAATTATTTCAAGAGCTGGGTGTGAAATACTCAGCTCTGAATTTTAAAAAGATCCCTTTGGCTGTGGTGTGATGAATGGGAGGGGGTTGGTGGCAATGGAGACGGAGGGACAACTCCGGTGTCTAAGAAACAATACCGGATGTATATCAGAACTTGACATTTGACATCCATGCAGTACCTATGCTTCACTCTCAATTATCTTAGACTATAAACAAAGCTAGGAAGTACCTGATTATGATGTGGATTTAGGACGGATTTAGGAACAATGCTAACCTTGAGTCAATATAATTTGGAGGTGCTCCCCTTTAATTGATGAACATTTCCTTCCATAAAAGCTGACCTGGCTCAGGAATATTGTTCCCTCATCAAAATGCTTGTACTAAGGCTGGGTGTAGTGGTACTCACCTGTAATCCTAGCATTTAGGAGGTGGAGCTAGGAGAATTGTGAATTTGAGATCAACCAGGGCTACACAAGGAGACCTTGTCTAAACAAGCAAACCTATGCCACAGGATTCAGCACATTTCTTCTTACTTCCTTTGATACACTAAGTAGGCTAAGTAGACTGTGTTAGTGAGCTAAAGGAAACATGGCTTCTTGAGAGTTCAGGAAACTTTAAAGAAAACAAAGAAATATTGGTGACTGTAGAAGAGCCTCAGGTATGCACCAAGTGGATAAAATAAAGTGAAGTTTTAGTGTTTTTGATGAACATTTCTAGAGGAAATGGCATGTATGTTGTTTTGCCAATTGGTTCTATAATAAATGAATGGAAACTTTAAAATACTTGTGCCCTTATTTCAGGTGTGTGTGTGTGTGTGTGTGTGTGTGTGTGTGTGTGTGTGTGTGTGTTACTGTGGCCTGGTTTTTTTGCCAATACATTAGAGACTGAGTTGTGTAGACTTTTCTTTCCAGGCTGGTTTTGAACTGGGATCCTCTGGTTTCAGCCTCCTGATGAGCTACGATTACAGACATGAGCCCCAGATGCCTAGCAGAGGATTATTCTTAAAATGTACTCTACACGTAATCATTTAGAAGCATAATCAAGTCAATAATCTCGGAATACTTTTCCCCCTCCAGCTTCCTTTATGATTTTTTGCCAGTGCTGGAATTTAGAACTCCAGGCCTTGATTTTGTTCTACTTTCTCACTCAGTTGGTGCTCTGTCAGTTGACCTGCATTTCTAGCTCTGCTTTTTACTGATTAATTTAGAGACAGAGTCTCATGGACTTTCCCACTTGAGCTGGCCTCAAACCATGATCGTTTAGGTATCTGTTTCTTGAGTAACTAAAATTATAGGTATGAACCACTGGTGTCCAGCTTCCCTTTCAAATTTCAAATCCATTTTTCTCCCTTAGAAACTAGGCCTCAGAATGATAAATTTTCAGTTCAATACTCTGGCTTCAATCTACCTAAAATTAGTACTGAAAACATGAGGAGTCTGAGATTGGAATTCATTTAACACAATATACCAACAAGCCAAAGTACTCTGTTCCTGTCATCATGTAAAGCGACACTAGTACTTAAATTGTGGCATTTTATTTTTCTGCATATGAATTTGCATGAATGAGTATGTGTATAAAGCCAAACTAACTAGATTATCAGCACAGTGGCAGGTGCAAAGGGGAAATGGAAGAGTATGATCTATAGAAACATGGTCCTGAACCCTTGGTAGAAGTACATTTTTATATCTTTGCTTTTTAAAAAATTTTATAGAGGGGTTACAGTTACATGAGTAAGGCAATGGGTACATTTCATGTAGAGCATCGTTATTCCCTCCTTTGTTTTTCTTCTACTATCCCTTCCCTCCCAATCTTCCTTGTATAGTTGCTTTTTGGAGGTGTTATAATGTTACAGATAAGAGCAAAACCATCACATTTTTCTGGTCACAAAGCTCTATATAGGACACATAAAAATACTTTTCAGAGCTGGGTGCTGGTGGTTCAGGCCTGTAATCCTAGTGAGAACTGAGTTGCACAGTTCAAAACCAGCCTGGGTAGGAAATTCCATGAGTCTTATCTCTAATTTTTAAACACCAGAAAATGGGAAGTGGTGCTGTGGCTCAGAGTGATAAAGTACTAGCTTTGAGCAAAAGAGCTCAGGGGCAGCACCCAAGCCCTGAGCTTAAGACCCAGTACCACAAAACCCCACAAACAAACAGAAAACCAAAATAAAACAAGAAATACTTCCCAGTAATCCAGATCTCCCACTCTCTTTGCTCAACTTCTATTTGCTTAATCCAGGGAAAGAAAAACACTGTCACAGTCATATGCAAATGACCACAAGTACAAAGCTGTTCAAGTCCAACACTACCAACTATCACATCTTTTTTTTTTTTTTAAATCCATGGAGTAGAAAGAGAATGAAACATTTTGTTAAGAGAGTTGCACTGGTGAAGGAGTTCACGGAAGGTAACTGTAGGTTCTGAATCTTATCTTGCCTCACCTAATATATTTTTTTCTTGATTCTCCCTTGGAGGTAGCATGTCCAGGAGGATGAGGCGCTGGGGATTGGGGACAGTTCACAGAAGTGAAAAAGTAGGCCGCCAGCTTGCCTGGGGTGGATCTAGAGGGTGGCTTGTGGAGATCAAGATGGACATTACACAATTCATCCTTTTCATCCTACTGGAAAAGAAAAAAAATCTCAGCTATTCCTACTTATGTCTCCTTCAAAAGTGATGATGCTTTCTGAAAATAGCTGAAAAGAACATTGTGTCAATTTCTTTTTCTCCACATACTGTTGTCCTTATTTAAAATATGGCAGTGCAAACACAAAAATAAAAGATGGCAATATCAATTTTAAAAAGTACGTTTTACTTGTGATGGGGTGACTATGTGAACTCTTTCTCATTCTGCTCTGGCCAAATTTGCTTCCAAAGCCCATTTGTACTTGCTGTGTTCTGTATTTGCTATCAGTAGAACCTAGAGTATCTTATCAATTGACTTGTTTAAATATTAATTCTTTGAAAGTAGTTCAATAAACTAATTTCCATTGAGGGGATGCCATATACTAGATATTTAGACCAATGAAGAAAATAGATGAAAACCTCTGCCCATGTGAGTCTTATATTTTCACTGATGAGATAGATAAGAAACAGTGAAGATAGCCAGCCACTGGTGGCTCACAACTGAAATCCTAGCTACTCAGGAGGCTGAGATTTGAGGATCATGGTTCAAGACCAGCCTGGGCAGGACAGTCTATGAGACTCTTATCTGTAATTAGCCACCAGAAAACCGTAAGTGGTGCTGTGGCTCAAAGAGGTAGACTGCTAGCTAGCATTGAACAAAATAAGCTCAGAGACAGCACCCAGTTCCTAAGTTGAAGCCCCATGACTGACCAAAAAAAAAAAAGAAAAGAAAAAAGAAAGAAAGAGAAAAAAGAGGAAGAAAAGAAACAGTAAAGAC